CATCTTTGGTATTGAGAGATCTGCCTAAAAATCATCCCTTTAAAAGCTAGTAGTTTATCTTCCTACAGATCAGCATGCATAACTGCATTTGTTGTAATTTCTGAAAAGTTGTGAGGGTAAACAACTCCCATCTGGAATTTTTCTTCCTTTGAAGATCAGCTAAGAAAAATTTTAATCCCTTTGGTTTATCTTTTTGCAAAACTTGAGTATGATGGAACTTAAAGTATGAATTCTGAACTTAATATGGATGTTAACTAGGATTTAGATTGGTAAAAACCCCAAAAAACTGATATTCTAGCTAATATGTTGACTTGAGTCTCTTAGTCTACAAAACACATCTATAAAAAGCTTATTGATATATGATAAATTCCATTATTTATGACTAGCTGGTACCTTTCTTACCCAAAAACACCTACAACTAAAGCAATGAGAGAAAATCCGTGAGCAATTCTAAAGATTTGACTGGCCATACTCTTGCTAGTTTTGGAGAAATGCTTCAGCGGTCCTTAGCTTGAAGGAATCTGCGTATTCTAGGGTAACAATTCTATCTTTAGGTTAAAAAACACACAAATCAGATTTTTCAAGCTGGAAGCAGACTGCAGCTCTATGCTAAAAATATGAGAAAATAATTAACAAAGGCATACAAGCCTATCTTTGGATTAATATTTTCAGGTGAATCCTACCATAACACGCAGTTTTGTATGGGCATAAGCAAGCACAAATGCATTTTTGGCACATGGCTGGAAAAGGATCACGAGGACTAGCCTTTGAAATTAAAAAGATGTAAAAAAGTTTGCAAAGAACATTTTAGTGTCTCCAAGGTCTACAGTTTAAGGTCTTTCCTTTTTCTCCTAAAAATTCACATTCATAATTACCCTTTCTACTGTTTAATTAATATTCAGGATATATACTAGAAGGACACCACAAAATTTGTTAAATCCCTTCATCTGGTCTCCTCAGCATCTACATCATAAGAGCTTAACCAAGCTCAACCATAAAATTATATTGTTCTTACAAGCTAACCTAACTCTGAACTCATTCTCCTTTTTTCTTTTTCTAAAAGACATTAAAAATGTTATCAGATGAACTTTAGAGAAGAGTTTTTACAGAAATTTTTATTTAGTGATCTGTTCTTAAAGGCTAAAGAGGAATTGCATGATTTCCCAGAACTGCAGAAAACAGACAGTATCTGAGGTATGCTTTAAAATATGTGTTTCTGTATTTATAGATAAAAAAGTACTATTCAAATGAGACCTACATATCTAGGAAGGTCCTCTTATATTATCAGGAGATGAAAATTGAAAATTTAAATTCCTCATATATTTTTATTGATTACAGCATACATGGCAGTCGAAATCTGAAGATAAGTGTCTCTCTATTGAAATTTATTGCTAATTGAGTTTGATTTTTCAGTCTTGGTTAATTGATTAACATTAATGGACCCATCTGCTGCATCAATACATGGGGAATAACAACAGTAGGAATAATCACTGTGAGAATAGTTTGAGACACTGCAAACATGATTGTTTGCGGGAGCAATTAACTTTGAGATTGTATTCTACACTATAAAAGCTAAGCTTGTGCATGTTTACATTTTTTGAGTCTTTATAAAATTTAAAACAAATGCATTAATCAACTGCTACTAGTGTAGTGGCTGACATAATTGTCAAATCATTGATGAGGTAATTTTGTGAGTTTATTTCCCACACACAGATGTGTCTTCTTAATTAACACCAAGCTTGGTTTGCAACATCTGGCTCATATGATCAGGGGGCCACACAGAATATTAAGAGCTTCCTAGGTTAATCTCTCCATGTCCATTTCAAACACATTCAAATCCAATGAGCTTTGAATTCCATAGAACTATGTGGCATCAAAACCTTAAATTTACGGAATAGTTGCTATTTTCCCCCCTCTGAAATTAATCTTGAATTCTACCTTAGCATAAAGTGCTGTAAAAGAGATAGGCAACTTGGAAAAGTGTTTTTTAAAGGAGTAGAGCACTTAAATAGTTAGACTGTTTTGGTTTTAAATCTAATACATAATGACTATGTAAAGAATTAAAAACTTAGATTTCCATTGAAACATTCATCTGATGAAACATATGTTAAAGCACTTTTGAAACCAATGGTTTTTGGTCTATTATGCAGGCTTTGGCTGGGATAGAGTTAATATTGTACTGGTGGGGAGCTGTATTTTACATTTGGGCCAAACATTGGGTTGATAACACAATCAAGGCCTTTCTGCTGCTCACCCCACGACACCAGTGCAGAGGCTGGGGCAGCACAGGAGTTGGAAGGAGACACAGTTTACCCCAGCTGATCCAGGTGATATCCCAGACCATATGGCATCATGCTCAGGGTATCAAACAGCGGGTAAGAAAGAGGAAATGAGGCACATTTGGAGTTACATTGTCTGCCTTCCCAAGTCACTATTACACATGCTGAAGCTCTGTTTTCCTGTCACCATTGCCCCGCCTAGACAATTTAGGGCTCTGTCTGGCCCTTGTTCCCCTTTCTGAGCTTGATCCTGATCCCCTACCAGCAGACTGATGTCCCAGTCCTGCCTCAGCATTTCACTATACCCAGAGATATCCCCAAAGCCCGAGGGCTGGGTCTGTCCTGATGCCCTGCCTGGTGCAAAGTCTTGCCCTTACAAATGCCAGGGGAACACCTGATACAACCAATGACCAGAATGAGGGGTCAGCTGCACCCTGAAGTTCTGCATCTGAACACTAGGTCCATTCTAATCCCCGTCTTCTTTTACTAAAATGACAAAGAATATTTTTTTCCCTTTCAAATAAATTTCTTATGCATAATCATTGTAATTAATGGGTTGAACACTACAGTAGTATTTTTTCCTCTAATGATGAGAAAAGGCAAGTAAATATCTTTTCAGAATAACTGTAAAAAATGTTTCTTAGAAACACACCTGTCTATACTCAGCAATATGAGTTGACAAACTCCAGTCTTCCTTAAAAAAACATGACAGAGATATTTGCTATGTAATACTTCGTGGTCTTTTAGAAGCAAACCCACTAACTAGTTGCCAAGCACCTGAAGAATTAAATGCAATGAAAAATATACTTTTTTTTTTTTTTTTGCCATTAAGCAGTGTAATTGAAACACCTAGCAAAAATCTTGCTATGACACCGGATAGTTCCCTCATCACTCTCATGTGTGAATCCCATCAGGTGCCACAGGTATATGTCCAGTTGATTTAAAAACTCTCTAAAGTGATTATCATCCACAAAGTGTAAATCTTTCTTTCTTCAGACTTTCTCCTACAGGAGAGGAATAGGATTCCTGGAGCCCAATTATCCATAAAGACTAAGGCAAAGAAGGCACTTCAGTCTTTCCTGAATCCTTTGTCACCAGGATTTTTCCCCATTCAGCAGCAAGCCTACATTTTCCTAGGTCCTTTTGCTGCTGACATCCTTGTAGAAGCTTTTGGTTTTGCCCTGCCCGTCCCTGCCAGATTAATCTCCAGAAGGGCTTTGGCTTTCCAGCTCCATATCTGTGGAGCTGGATTTTTTCTCTGTATTCTGTCCAGATCACCTGGACATGTTTCTATCTCTTGTATACTTCTTTTTAATGTTTGAGTTTTGTCGGAAGCATCTAATTAATCTGTTCAGGCTTGCTGACAGTTCATTTCCTGCTTATAAGATTGAATAATTCTTGGGTTTGGAGAAGGTGATCCCTGAAAATCAGTTGGCTGTTGTAGAAAATCATGAAAACTGTGCTACTGAACAGCCACTTATCCCTGGTTTGCACATGCCCAGTCTTCCATGAAGCCTCTGGGCAGAGGAGAAGTGGCCTAATTCAAAACAAAAACATTTCTGAAAAGGGCCCAGGCCAGCAGCTGGAAAGCAGAAAGGCAGGAAATAAATCCAATCCTCATGAATTATTCAGGACACAAATACAAACAAAACAGTATTCCATAATGGCAGATGACAGGCCAAGCAGTAGAATGGCAGAGATACAGTAAAAACCAACAGAGAAAAAACCAGATTCATTACTCCAAATGAATGGAGTTTACACTCAGTTTCATCAGACTGGTAGGCAAATTGTGTGTTCTCATAAAACTGCCTTGCTTTCATATGTGCTCTAGTCAAACAAGACTTAGAGATCAAAGGCCTGTTTTGTATTTTTTGTGTGTTCATATCAATCAAGAGGCAGAGAAGTCCCTCAAAAATTTGTTCATGATCTCCTCAATCTAAGAACACACAGTGGCCTAGAACATCAAAAGAACTTTAAACTGTTCTGTTCAGTATTTGCCTTGAAGTGAAGTACAATTTTTTAATAATTTGGCAGCTACTTCATAAATTCGATAATTTCTAAACAGAAATGTGTTTCTAAATGCTGAGTTCCTTAGATAATGATCAAATTGCTATGGCTTAAAAAGTTACTATGCTCCTACTGAACCATCATTCAACTGAACCATCATCCTCTGTTCTTTTAACTCATGTCTCTCTCAGACTCCATTTCCTCTTTCAGCATGATACACCTTAGCTTTCACAGGTTCTTTGGCAGTATCTTTTCCCATATGCTGAAGGTGAAGAAGAAAGTCACTTGTTAGCGTTTCCACAGCATGATGATGAACATTTGCACTCAAGAACGTACCATGAAGATGTGTGAGGGTACACAACTGAGTGTACCTGATATAGAGTTGTTAGGAAAAAGAATGACTCTTATGTGCCTTCTGTCCAAACTGTCTATAGAAAAGTTCAGATTTAGTCTTGTAGCAGTACTGATCTGGTTGGTTGCAAAGGAATTCTGACTTTAATAAAATATATATCCATGTGGTCAATGTCATTATATTTTATATCACTTTTTATGCAAGCAAATAAAGTGTAACATCTCTCTGGCTGGCATGAAGATGCCACATTTTCTATTTGAAATTATCAGGACAAAAGATTGGTGATTATTTCATTACAGAGAAAATTATAGTAATTTTTCATCAAGAATGAATGATAAAATGGGTAAATAAATGCCTCTTACCTAGTGCAGGTCCCCCCATTGTGACATGGATGATAATCACATATTGGAACATTGCAGTTCTCAACATTCCTTCCTTCAAGAGCCTCATCTATGATGAACAACTCTTTGTGGTTGACTTGAAAATCCCTAATGCATCCTTTAAAGCCATATATCTGCCCAGCACATCCATGAACCTCCTCATGAACAGGAACCTTTCCAAGGAAGATTGATCCAAAGTTGATCTGCAGAAACAAAAAGAGACTTGTCAGAAAAAATGTGATTTGTGATGTTATTGTAAACAATGAAAGAACAATAGATCCTGATAAAGGAAATAATCATTACTTGAAGATGGGAAAAACTCTGATGCTTTCTGAAGTGATTATTTAAAAAAATGTTCGATTTTTTAAAAAATAATCCTTACAAAGAGGGTTGTTTAATTTGTTTTCATATTTTCAAATATATAAGACAACATACATTCCACAAAACACAAATTGGAATTCTCAGCCGTAATGACAGTGAATATGGTAAGTTTTTTACATAGATACCCTCATCCTATATGATGAGTTGAAGATTCATGGCTGAAGTTTGGTGCAGGAACACAGGAGAAGCAGTAGACTTGAAGACATTTCCTTTAGGACCTGGGACCTATGGGATCTCAAGATAAGGGGAATACAGAAAAAATATTTTAGTTTTTTTAATGAGTGACAGAAAACAGACTACTATACTGAAGCCCAAGGGCGAATAAAAGGAAATTTTCAAATTTCCAAAAGCCTAGAACATCCTTATAAAGGTGCAAAGAAACAATCATAACTTTTTCACACAGGGTCTGACCAAATCATATTAATGCTCACTAAGGTAATTCCTCTGTTGCCTGACCTAGGATTCAAGCCCTTAATCATCACATATAAATGATCTGTGGCTCATTTAACACTCTGAATTCCACTCCTCAAGCTAATTCCAGACTTTCTGGAATTCTGACATGAGACTAGATCATTCTTGAGTTCATTTGCTAAGTTCCTGTCAATTCTTAGGAATTGAAAAAAAACTATACTTGCATCACACAATGATGCATTTATTTGTACAATACCATTAGTCCAGAAAGAGGGTGACACCTAGCCCCCTCAAGTCAAGAAATGGAACCAGAAATTATCACAGCATATGTAAAACAATGGAATCAGAAATTATCACAGCATATGTAAAACATGTGAGGGGGTTACTTAATAGTGAAGAGGCCATTCACTATCATATTCAGACACCTGTAAAGAAATAGAAACAGGAAGAAAACATCCCATTGATTTATCTGGAATTCACACATCCATATGATTTTTGCTTTGTTGGTTTTGGTATTACTTTTATCAGTCCTGGAGCTATGTTGCTGACAATTTCAAGTGAAATTTTGTGATAGAATGAATGTGAATACTGCCAGATATTCTTCTACTCAGCGTCTTTCATTCTCAAGTGAAAAAGAAAAACACCTACTTCCTTTAGAGCATGGATAAAATTAAATCAGATTTTTCATACCAAAGGAATTCAAAGACATTGGCTCTGTACTTGTTGAATTAGTTTCAGATCACTTGACTTTATCCCCTTTCAAACAAAGCTATGAAACACCGCAGTGATAGACAAGATTTGTAAGTAGTGTTTGCAAACATTTTCTCTCTGCTTGTGAATCTCTTTCAAGAATTAAGCAAAGCATTGGACTGCATGACAAAATGCCTCTGATTAGGAGCAGTGTTTTTAACACTCCTCTGGCAAAGCAATCTCCTTTATTATTTGGCTTATTTTACAAAAGCACTAACCTTGGGAACAGATCCAGTGTATCACAGAGCAGCTTCAGTAGGCTTTGCTCAGTTTCTAGCATCACTGGATTTTATCAAAATGTATTTGATGTTCAAGCTCATGTTAGTACACCATAATACACATTCTTTCTATAAAGGTCCTGCTCGGAATTTAACTGACTGAACCAGAATATATTTTAAGGGGGCACAAAGAAAGAATTCCTGCAAGTCTTATTAATAACATAAAAGGTCTAATACAGCATTATGTCAATAAATTATGTAATACTTATGTTTAACTTTTCAAATACTAATTTGAAAATATCCTTCTTCACTTTTAGCCTGAGTAGTGAAAAGGACTATCTTGGGCAATAATGGGAAGATATTCATTAGACCTCTTACAGATAAGAAATGTCTTTTATTCTTTCTTTGATTGAGTACTTTGTAAATAGAGGTTCTGGGAGATTAGGAGCAGATCTGTAAAGTGTAACAGTTAGTCATGAGGATTTGACATTCATACTTCATATCATGCAAGGGAAAAAATTCTGTTACAAACCAGCAGTGCGTACTGTGAGATGCACATCAAGATTAGCATCTCTGCAGATAACTGACCTGTCTTCTAGTGAACAAACTTATAAAGCAAGCTGTCAATCACAGCTCAAATTCTTGTCTAAAAATGTTTAAAAATGTTTCATGCAGAAATAATCCTGTGACGAGAGAATGCATAAAAAAGGCAATAAAATGAAGACAAAGAATAACTGAAAAATTCAAGATTTGGGAAAGCTGGCCTCTTGTCCATTCAGAACGAGTATTCTGATACCAGTTTCAAAATGGAGACAGATATTTTCACAATATTATTCAGAAGCCATGTCCTAGCAAAAATACTGAAACCAAATTAAATCACTGATGATTCATAACTGTCCTCCACTAGACAGTGTAGCTTACAGCTAGAAAGTAACTAGAATTACTGCTTAATAATATCTGAATTGTTTCCAATAACCCCTTGGCCTTAGGTAAATGACACTGCTAATACACTTTTTTAAACTCTCATAGCATCCATGTCCTTTTTATGGACTTTGTGCAGCAGGAATAGAGGCTTTAGAGTCAAATAAAAGAAGAAATTAATGGATATGTTGTGGTTGCCGGATGCGAAAACACCTATTAGAAAGAAAGTTCATATAATGATATCTGAAGAAGAATTATATTTCCTCCTTTAGAAGAAGTTAGAATATACCCATTCTCCTTTGAAAATAACTGTAGTGCATATGCTGAAGAAATGTTCAAAGCAATTAGCTATTTTTTGATGTTTTGCAAACTCACCTGAGATGCTCGATGTGAGAAGGAAAGACTATGCTGTACAGGGGGGTTTCCATCTGCAGCCACTTCAATCATGCAGTAACCTTCAGGACTGCCCACAGGCAACAGGTAGCTGTAAGGAAACAAGATCCCATTGCTGCTTATACTGTTGGTCACGGAGTATTCAAACCTCACACGGCAAAGGAAAGGTGAAAGAGATGTTCATACTTCCATAAAGTATGAAAATCTTTGGACACTACTAATTTCAGTTTCATGGCTATTGAATTACCCAGGAGACAAAAGATGCAAGTTTCATCAACTAACATCCCTCTTCTGTTTCCTTTCTTGCTATTCTTGACTAGTGTTTGAAATATATACAGAGAAAAGAAGAAAAAAATCTTTAAATATTTAAGTGAGTATTGATAAATTTTAAGTGCTAACTGTGGTTGACATACAATCTCCCTAGTACAGAGGATTGTTGGACAAGTGACATCAACGTTGAATGATGCTGAACAGCCTGGGTTGAAATTTCTTTTTCCTGACCTACAGAGGGAACATAAATGGAATAAGAAATGAAAGGCTGCATACCTCTGAGCAGAAAAATTACACTGCAAGGCAGTTATCACTTCTTGGAAACTGTGTTAGTGCAAACTCTGGTACTGAGCCTCAGAGATAAAGAAGAATGTAAGGTTAAGGGAATTTTTGTAGTAAATACTACTGAAAATTCAATAAAACACGGATAATTTCAGCCAAATCACCATAATTAGGTTTCTGGGGTATGGTTTCTACCAACAATGTTACATTTTTGTGTAATATTTCACAAATGTTACACAATGAACTTTAAAAAAAATTCTGAAAAAAAAGTTAACATATTTGTATGGGCTACCAAATTTTCCATTTCTTTTAGCTGAATAAATGGTAAAGGACAATAATAGGAATCTCAGAAATTGTTTTTTGTTGGGAGAGATGAATTTTTATGTTATGCAATACACATACGAAAGAGTTAAAAAATTTTAAAGCCCATTATGATCTGTACATTAGAAGCATTACTAATCACAGAAATTACTTCAGCATTGATAAGGACAAATTTACTCCTGGAGAAAACACATCAAGATGTACCATAGTCTCAAATGGTACCTTTTTATATATCACTACCTGGTGATTTATTCCAGGTTATGCCTTGAGTTTTGTGCCTCTGCTTCTGTTTCTAAAGTTTTACTATTTCATCCTTCTCTCTGTAGATTCATTATGAAATCTCAGTTTTCACCTCTGAAGTTGCTGAGAGCATTGTATTGACATAAATGGATATAGTGTTGTATAGTATAGGCCACAACGAATATTTAGAAATTCACTGCAGTGATTTCTGAGTGAGTAGCACAAAACTAGTGCATTTACTCACCTTATAGCCAGAACATCCACATCAGCAGCTGATGCTTACATATTAATAAATCCCACCTTTCCAATGGTTATATCACTGCTGGTTCACAGCTAAATCAGTCAATACTAATTCATTGACTTTTCACTGTACTCCAATGCATGGGGTTGAAATGTGCTAAATTATTTCTACCTTGTAAGTATGCAACACATTTCTTATTTTTGAATCTTTCTTTAAAACTCTGAGATATTTGAATGGCATTTTCCATTATCACCCTCTGAAATGTGATCTAGACACCTAGACTATTTAAATGAGTTTGAAAATACTAATTTTTATTTATAATTTTAGGCTAAAAAGAGTCCCGTTGTTAAGGTATTTTTCAATTGCATTCCTTCTTGAAAAGTCTAAAGTTAGCATAATATTTTGATTTTAAATATAGGGAGCTAGAAACAGTGCCTGCTGTTTTGAAGACCATCTTATTTGCACAATTTCATTTTAAATAATGAATTCAGTCAACAGAAGTTTCTCCTTAAGAAACAATGGATATATTGACAGATAGTTGGTGATTTCCTTTTAGGTACTTGAAATAAGGACAATTCTTGAGAAAATGCTCCACTGTTCTGTTTTCCAACCAATTCTTGAAAGATAAAATATTCTTTGAATTTGATTTATTATTCCTACTCATATTTCAGTTGCTGGGAATTGTCTCAGTAAGTCAGAGAGTGTAAAGATAACTTTCTCAGGTAATAGAAAATCAGGTCATTTAAGATTCTCTCTTGGGGGAAACAAATTCATAGCCTTTTCTTGATGCTTTCTACTCTGAGTGGATAAGTAGTAGAGACTTAACACACTCGTATCAAAGGCCACCCTCTGTCCCTGCCTTGTCCCTTATTTTCAGAAAGATTTCTGAAGTCTGCATGTTTCTTTTTCTAAATAACCTCTTACATCACATGTTACAATGGTCCAATGCAAAAAGAACAAAGGTTTAAGTGAAGTGGCAAAATTAATTAATAGGAATGCTCATCTAATGAAAAATAAAAGAACATTGAGGTCTGTGTCAGTGTGACCATCTTCAAGCAATTAGCCATCCATTCAGCATAGTAAACTTCCATTGCAAATGCCTGGTGTACACACATTCTCACTGTTTTCTACACATAATTTATATTGTTTTGGTCCTTTACTGTAGGAAAAAAGTGGAAGATTAAATGTAGGTGCAACTAAAATAAGCCTTAAAGACTGTTTAATACTGACAAGTTCTTTACTTTAGAAATCCTTATTTAGACAAGCCCAAGTATAATAAATTCATTTAGATAATAACACAGATAATAATCATCCCTACTCAGACATACCTGGTAATCCATTCTGTCTTTAAATAAATATATGAGGAAAAAAAAAAAGAAAATCCAAATAAAACCTCTCAGTATCCATAAACAACAGTTTATTACACAGTGATTTTGGTCATTAGATCATAAATTCATAAAGGACATAAAGGTGTTTTGCTTTTTTCCTAATATGCAGCAATGAAATCTCAAAGAGCAGAACAGATTTGTTTGATTTCTGCCAATAGATTTGTGACTGAGTTGTGAGAATAAAAGCAGAGGCTACAAGCAGGAACCTACAGCCCTGTATTCTGGAGTGCAGGTTAGGAATGCACTCCATGCATGCTATCACTGTTTTCTTCAGCATTTGCTTCTTTCTCTGTAAAGATTTCCAATTAATTAATACTTGCAATTTTTCTCTGTCTTGTCATAGGAAGGAAAACCTGTCATTTGAAATGTGAACAAAATGGATATTTTTCATGCTTATGTTACCATAGAATTAGGACTGTTTGAATTTCCTAGATTATTTAAATATGCCTAGAACAGCTTTTAGAAAGAGACAGAGCATGGAAAATTACAGTCCACAAGACAGATTTCTTAGCATATTATAAAAATATTAAAAAATGGCAGTTAGACCACAAATGCTGTCTCAGTCTTTATTACAGCATTTAATTCCAGAAAGTGCAGCAACATAGACACATGCAAAATATAATAATATTAGTTTTCTAAAACAATGGTGGAAAAAAGAAGGGACTTGAAATATTCTGTCACAGAAATTACTTGAACTAACATGCCATCAATGTTGCTCTATAACCTGGTTATAGTTTTCTTATAATCTATGTTTAAATCTGTCTTAATCTTGCAATTGAATAAATGCAGTTGTATTATTTCATGCACCTCACAGAAGACTGAAATCCATTAGAAAAGAGAAAATTAAACTGATGAATTACTCCCTTGACATTTTTCTTTATTTTTCTAATTAACCTCATATTATGAGATACTGACCTCACATTAAGAACACCTGAGATGAAAGTGGCTGATCACTGACATCTTTAAATTTTGAAGTATTTTTAGTTCAGTGGTGCTTTTTCACTCGTTTAGATGCTGAAGGCATTTCAGTCCATCTGCCTTGCATCTCAGTGGCATATTCTGGCTGCACTTAAAGCCAGCCTATTTTTCCCTCCAGAGACAGCAACAGGAGAGAATGCAACACAATTCCTATTGCAGTATGATTTTGTCAGGCAGGAGAATTGTGATTCATTCATATCACACTCACAACGATATAAAAAGGATTCACAGGGAAGTAAAGAATTGGGTGTGTGAGAAGTAGTTATAGGAAATGTGTATATGTGGAGGACATATGGGCAAGGTTATGCACAGTAATCTTAACAGGTCTGGAGCCATATGAAGCCCGGCCTGTTCCTGGAGATGCTAAGATATAGGCCTGATGAATTCAAGTATTTATTTTCACAAATTTGAAATGAGAAGATGTTCAGCCTTCCTATTTGCTCTAGGCCTAGAAAATCATGATTTTTTTCATAATTGCTGTGGATTTTATATAAATTTAAGAACAAGAATCACAAAGGATTAACTATTTTTTTTTGCAAAAGACTCATGAAACCTCAACAGGTGCACAACAGTGGTTATAGACTGTGTCATTAATAGTTGCATGTTGATTAATTATGTGCATGAACACTGGATTTCCAACAAAGTGCAATGTGTACCTCGCACACTCATGATTCATGGATTACTTTAGGTCTGGAACTGGTAGTCAAATAAATCCTCTTAAGATACCCAAGATTGGGGCACCTCTAAATCTGGTATGATCTTGCTCAAGTAAATGTTTTAGCTTAAATTATCACAGATTTCTCCAGTTGGAAATAAAATCATACTTTTTTCCCTTTTTAGCTAGTCACCAGGTGGCACTAAAGGAGCACAGTAGAAAGCATTAATGCAAAATCCCTACTAATGTCTCTTCTAATAATTGGAAAGACTGACTTAAACTCTAATTGATAGCATGATTGCTTCAGCTTCCAGTTATATCAAGGGAAACATAGTAAAGCATCTTAAACTGATTACGTATTTGACAATACGGATGAGAATAGGCCCAGAGACTGGAACTTCTGGAAGACTTTTAACTGTTTTTATGCAGTATAACTATGCAATGTAATATGTAAAAATGGTGCATTCATGGTTATGTAAACATACTTAAGAAAGTTTAGTTTATAGCAATTATATTTTCTATATAATGCTGAAGGTGCAGCCATATTTCTAACAGATTAAGGAGAAGTATAGCAAAATTAAAGTGTCATATCAGCAGGTATAAATAACTCCAAGCATTATAAAGAGAACTTTTGTTTTTATCCAAGCTAAGTAATCATGGTAAAACTGTTTCTGAACAAAGACCTCACACTGCTATCAGTGCAGGGTTTCTGGTCT